CGCGCGTGACATTTGAGGTAGGAAAAATCCTACACCTATTCAGATCCTACTTAAAATTCACTTGCAAGAAAGGACACGTCAGCGGGAAGCGCGGCCACAAATTCGGGAATCCCCAACTGCCAAACAAAATTCCTGGCGCGCTCACTAAGGCGCGCGTAAGTCCTACATAAATTCATGGATCGTTGGAGAGAAATCGTGGAAAGTCCTCAGAAAGAAAAAACAACTAGTCTTAAAAGTGGGAGGGCCTCGTCGGCCATTAATTCCATGCATACCACCAACCAAAAAGAAGGGTACCCCTAAAGCCCGTTAGAGATCGAACAAGCACGAATAGCAAAACTCAAGGCTTTGAAAGTTAGTTCAGATACAGAAACTGGTACTATGGTACAGACCAACCACGTAGTTGTATTCGAACGTCAGCATCTGCGGTCCTCCCCGGGCAGTATTTGAACATCCTGCCGTGTGACCATGGCATTTCCTTGGGCCTGCCCCCCTGTCCCCACCTCCTTTCCGAAGACTGGCAGTCAGGCGTTGCCGAGAGCCGCCGTACACTTTAGTAAGCGTATGGAAGAAAAGGGAAAATTGAAGTTGAACCACCGCTCCCCCCCGCAGCCTAAAGTCGACTTCCCGGGGAGTTTGGGCCGCAAAAAGTAATACGGCGGCGACCGTTCTTGTTCAGGGTGGGACGGTTCCTTGTGGTGCACACACACAGGGGGGGTTCGATACTCCGGTGACAGTGGAGGGGGTCGAAAACGGCAGGTGCGGAGCTGGCGGGGCCAACTTCGCGACTTCCACATCGGTAGAGGCCAGTCAATGAAAAAAAAAAACTTTGTGGCTTTGGTGGATATTGTTTCCTTGGTGGGAATGGGACCCCCGGCCAGCAGCACCACTCACTGCGGCTTTTGCTCTCCAACGGGAAAAATGCAAAACGACAAAAAAAAAAAAAAAAAAGTCCACACGCTACTACTGTACTCTGAAAAAAAGAGTCATATCGTTAGCCATGTGCGGCAGAATGACGCCAAACAACACGGTCAGAAACAGCGCCAATGTTTGTGTTTCTTTGTTTTGGGTTCGTCCGGTAGGTTGTACGGCAGCGGTACCAACGCTGGCTCACGCCCCCTCGCGGCTTTCCGTATTGGGTCGCCGATCAGAGTTCTAGGAGGGGCGTGGCCGAGGATTTTTGGCCATAGGGGTTGAGTCTCCCGAATGGAACGGGAGGCTCTCGTTTCGTGCCAGAGGTTACCCCGGAGTCGAACTGTCGTCGCGAAGTCCCGTGAAGTTCGGATCACTTTGGAGCGATAAAATCAGAAGGGTTTCCGCAAAAACGAACTACCGTCGTGCATCGGGACGGAAAAGGGCATCAAGGGGAGACGGCCATGGCGGCAGAAGACAGAAACTCCGACCGTCATGGGTTTGAGGGATAGGTAGTGGGTTCGAAGCCTTTAGGCCTCGTCATCGGCCTCGTGAAGTGACCGGACCATCGGTTTTTTGCTGTAGAAGTGGTTGGTTCGAGGCCTTCAAGCCTCGGCGTCGGACTCGCAAAGTCCGCGTGGAAGTTTTCGAGAGGGTGAAGCGGCGGGAGGACTCGCCGGCATCCGAATTTGAAATTGCGTGGGCAGTGCCCCTGTATTACAGGAGAGCTCGGGGAAACATGTCGCTCCCTCGTAACCCACGACTAAGCGTCGCCACGAACACGAGTCCCCCTGGCGACATCAACGACAATCAAACTGCGGCCGCCACGCTGCGTGGGCAGCCGACCAGGCAACACCGTCAAACCCGTATAAGGCAATACTAGAGTCGGGGAATCAAAGCAATCAATCAAGACAAACCCGTTCCCCCCTATATTACACGCCCAGGGCGGGTCTCGCCAACACACTTGCTCCGTCCGTCTCAGCGCGCGTCGTACATCCGCATCGCAGTAGACGCTGTCGACATCTGCAATGGGGAAGGTCGGTAGCGAGATGAGACGATCGGAGGTGAGCGATGAACACGGGCAAAATCCAGCGCTCCCTGTCATCCGAACCAACACCGGCTCCATACAACACTCGACTCAGGCGGTTGACGTCACCGGTGCAGGGACGAGAAGTTCCAAAAGCGATGACTATCAGTTCAAAAAAAAAGGCGATAGAGAAAGAGAGAGTGAGTTACACCGAGACTGCGCGTGCGTGCAGGACAGGCCGCGGAGGGGAGGGGAACAACAGGATCAACACACTCATACTCCTAAGCAGATGGTCCTCCAGTTCAGTTCTCCCGTCCCCGCCCGGATAAGTACATACACACATACATGCATGCAATCAACAACCCTTGACAAGACATCCAATCATCCATAGACCTTCGACATCACTCATGCACACAACCAGCTCCCATCACTCGGGGCTTCACGCACACGTCATGCATAGACAAAGCAGCAATGGAGATAAAAGCGAGTCCTTCTTGTACACAAAAATTCTCAATTAACTGCCGCCCCCAGGCGCAGCCTTCAAAACCTCCCAAGACCACCGACCACCATAGCCACAAGGCCCTGCCGCGGCCGGCGCCCAATCCCCACCACTGCTCAGTCCCTCCGACTGCTTCGCCCCGAGACTACCGCGGGTACACCCCACGTCGTCACTTCGCCCGTCCTTGGGCTCGTTGAGCCTGTTCGGCGCCGCGGACTTTTGCGCATAGTTCGCGCAGCATTGCAGCCGAGATCAAAGAGAGAGAGAGGAGAGGGTTGCGTGAATTTATAGCGAGGGAGGCGGCGGGTTGTCATCTCGAGGTGCAGGCAGCGCAGGTTGCAGATGAGCAGGACAGGAGGAAGGTGGGGAGTTAGAGGGTTCGACCCGCGGGATGGCATGGTCCTACGTGATTGGGGTGTCCGTTCAAGTGGTGCGCGGTTTCCCGCTCTCCACATTGATCCGAGCATCCCAAGTACGCGGCCAATCACTTTGCGGAGTAAGGATCGAGCTGGGCGGAGGGGAAGACGAAGAGACCTGCATGGGGAAAATGTGCGCAGCAAGAAGGAGAGATGGCACGGGGATGCAAAGCAAGAAACGGGGGTGCGAGACGCGCGAAGAAGTCGGAGCTTAGGCGCGCGCGCGCAAAAATTCAAAAAGTCCCCACCGAAACCGTTTCTTGGTTTTCCTACCGCGGCCGCTATTCGCCCGCGCGGGAGTTATTAACCAAACAAAATGAAAAAGCCGTTTCAAAAAGAAAACAAAAGCAAAAAGAAAAAAAAAAACCTTTCTGTCTGTATCCGTGCCTCGGGGCTTCCGGGGGATTTTTCCTCAGGGATACGGGAAGCCGCGCGGTACGAGTCTGAGCTTATCACATCTGTGATACGCAGGGGGTTCCGAAAAATTAGTAGTCATCCGACTGCTGAGGTCATCATGTCTTAGATGATCGTGCGGCCTCTTCATCGTCAGCTGGCCCGATCATCTTCCTTATCTACGTGGATGCATCTTGCATCCTCCATCGCCTCCTCCCATAGTATACATCCGATCGGGCGGCCCCTTCATCGTCAGCTGGCCCGATCGGTAAATTTTTTTTTTTTTTTTTTTTTT